TAAAATATCTGCATAGCTGCCATTCATTCTCAGGCTGACATTAAACTGACAGGCGGCTGTTTGTAAATGTCAGTAAAAAAATATTTCACCAAGGTAATCCATGAAAAGCAAGCATCACAAAATATAAAATTACATCATTTACCACGAGATTGCGTGCTGTTCTGTAATATCACTTACACACATTTCATCATGTTTATGCCAGTAAACCACACAGTCAAGTACACGCTGCCAAGTTAATCACAAAGAACAGTTTTTCCAGGATGGAATTTTTAGTGAATCTGGAATTTTTTGTGAATCTACTCCTGCAAATGATCTTTTCCCTTTTTTTTTCATTCCCAGATGGAATAATTGCTAAACGATGTCATGTGTTTACAAATTTCAAACAAAGCTTGGTTTAAAATATACAAAAATCATGTACGTAAAGTTACCTTTTTAGAGGGTAAGCTGAAGGACCACAGAAATTGGTAATACATTCAACCCAAATAAAGAGTTCTGCTCAATTCATTCTCCAGTCTGGGGTGAAGCAAGCTCAGTCACAGTTACAGTAATATTTTGAAGCTGTTAACCCTTATAAACCTATCCAGTTATATCCCAGTATGTAACATGATTGGATATCTGTAAACACTTCAGCTGCACGTTGCCTTTTACACTGAAAGTAACCCAACAGATATTTTGGCATCCATGATTATCACCTGTAGACTTAAATGTATTAATTTGTTTTTATTTAATTGCAACCGGGTGGGAGCCAACTGACCACTGACATTTGAATTGGAAACTTTTACATTTAACTGATGAAAAAAAAATTCTCTGGAACATCCATCCATCCATCCATCCATCGTCCAACCACCTGTTCCAGGTAGCTTGTGGCACAAGGCTGGGGCGGGTAACACCATGAACACAGCAGGCTATGCACAAAGCTACCTAGGCCTAAGATTCAACACCCCAAAATGTGAATAAAAAATCTATCAGACTAGCTTTAAATAACATGGTGTCACAGGGTTGGCTTCCTTCCAGATTTAAACATCACTATGTTAACATTTTTAAAGCAATTTAATGCTAACCAAGTTCGTTGCACAGAACTGCGAAATGGGTCATTGTTTCTGTTCCTCACTGAAGCTGCAACTCCAGAGAGAAACCATTCCATTGTATGGGCTTCATGGTATGATCAACGTTTCAACCCCCCTCCCTCCTAAACACCCCCAATGTTGCTACCCGCCAAATTTCATTCATGACTTCAGAGAGAATTAGTCAAGAATGGCATTTTCTTTATTTACTCCTAATCAATCATGCCGAGCTGTAAACAACGTGACCACTTTGCTTGTGCGACAATTATCTGGTTGTCAACAATGACCCCCCCCCTGCAGCCCCGCACATCCGACTCGCTTAGCAGTTTACCTAAGGGGACTCCGACCCTCTTAAAGCACTCGTTAACATTTTTGGCTCATTACTTTAACTTTGGCTCATTAGCACACCGATCGCTGGACGTGTTTCTTTACTTGGTTGGGATTACGATGAAACGGAGATTGGAGATGTACAGCAGTCTCAACCGAAATTTCCGATGAATAACATGTTTAACATGTTCAACCCTTACCGACCCCCAGCTCAACGATTCCCAAGGTCATTGCATCGTGAACCTAAGTTGTGTATGAGTATGTGTGGCAGATTAAGCTTCTTATTCAGTATGAAATATATGAATAAAACAATATCCGGCTACGTATCTAGGTGAATTACAAGTTGTATCCTTTCGCATTAAATGAATGCTGAGCAAATAAATTCCTCAATTAAAGCGTCTACTTACTGCACGTGCCATTGCCTTCTCTACTCTGTCGCGTTTTTATTACAATGGCCAGTCCGCGTTAAGAAAAAAAGAACAGAAAGATGCAAGAGAAAGTGAGAAATTAAACATTGAACCCTAAATAGTGGATGTATGGAAATAAAATTAAGTTATAAATAAACCTATATTGGTTCATATAGCCCTACTGCAATAGTTATTTTAAGTAGCTTGTGAGAGCCCGCTATTTATGCGTATTATCTTATTAGGCATATAACGTCTATCCGCTAAGAAAATGTTTAGAACTCTGAATTAGTTATATTTTGTAAATAATGCTACACATAAAATTTGTTATAATAATAATAATAATAATAATTATTATTATTATTATTATTGTTATTATAATTATTATCGTAGATATAAATGTATGTCACCTTTTCACCAACTGATGTTACAGTATCTTGCAAGTTATTTTCAGTGCCATAAGATGCTGCGGGATTAAAATGCAATAAAACATTCATTGCGGAAGCTGTAACGTAAATCGCTAACAGATTTAGATTTGTACGTCCAATATCGCCATTGCCGCATATATACAGGCTTATAGTTTAACCGTTTAGACCTTTCCCTAGCCACCCAGCCGAGAGCCTACTTTTGAACATTATTATTATTATTATTATTATTATTATTATTATTATTATTACTCAATACATCGTTATCCGGTTACAAATATTGACAGTTGACTTGAAAATCACTTTTTCTTTTTAAAGACCCGCCTCTCTTCTTGTTTGTGTTCTGTCATAAAATCGTAAAGGTATACACAAGATATGATCAACTTAGGGAATAGGAGTGGAACTGTAGCAACAACCACAACAATAGCATCCAGACGGCAGCTTCATTGTTTCCCTAATTGTTTTAGGCCTATACAGCTATACATAGGCCTAAACATTTTCTTGTAAAACCATTGGAAATACAAATTATTAACCCATACACACTAGTTGCTTCCTCAGCATCTAGAACTGTTCTCTTTTATGACTGACCTTTTTTCAGTCACTAGATTATAAGATGATGTAATGAGCATTTCTGGTGCTCAGTGTTTCAGCAAGTGAGTTTTACACAGCTGTACACGCAATGAAACACATTAAGATGATTCAGAACACCAGGGAAGATAATAAAGGTGATCTTGCTGGGAATCATGTTTTGTTTTTTTTTTTTTGTAATGCAAAGTCACACTTTAATATCTGACTGTGCTCCCTGTAGACATTTAATCGTATCGTTTGTTTTTCCAGCACTCTAATAAATGGCCCTGTAGCATGACCTGATTTAGTTTTGACAATGTTGTTCAGCTATCTTTGGCTGGGCATTTGAATGGACGCCATTTTTAAAAATCAGTGTTCCTTTGCCCATTGTATGGCGTGCCGAGCTCTGGGGCAGATGTGTGAAAGTGCCCGCTTGCTCCTTTCTCTCCCCCATGACCTCAGTCTCTGTGTCCCATCGCCCTGGGAATGTCACGGCTCAGTACTTTACTTTGAGACCCTTCAGAATGTGCCTTTGTTTTTTTTTTTTTTTAGTCACACACAAAATTGTTCCCGATCCCCCCACCGTAAATGATACTCCAGACTGAAGCTCGGGGCACAAGTGCAATACAATTTGGCTTAACCCAGCCTTTGTCCCACTTGTACAAATGACTAAACAGAACACATATTATACAGCTGATCAACTGCTACCTGACACAAGACTTCAGGAACCGAGGGGAAAAAAAGCAAGTTAATCTATTCAGAGTAATGGTGGCATTTTCATGATGCTTTCCCAACAAAACAATACTCACTGTGCAATAGAAAACATACAAAAGTAAGAAAAAAATATGGTGAGCATCTAAAGGCATCGTCAGTTAAGGGCAAGGTATACCACAAATTATTTGACTGAAAGTAAAAACATGTATAACAAATAGAAACTTGGAATTAAATCTAATCCCAACACATGAGCTGGTTTTCTGCCAGGAATATTTCTGGGCGGGTTAGAATGAATACTATAGGTCTACATATAAACAAAAAGTATTTAATATAATATTAACATCCAAAATCATTACATCATACATGCTTATAATGGTATACAAACAATTGTAGAAAAACAATTTGTTTGGATTTGGGGACACTGTCTGATGTTCATACTGACTCGATAGATCCTTCTGGGGAAAAAAAAATATCGGAAAACAAAATTAAAAAAAGAAGAAAAAAAAACCTTTATTAGCTGAAAAAATAAGCAGGCCAGTATAATGGAAAATTTTAAGGAACACCATGATGATCCATTTTTGAACCCAGCAGCATTGTATTGAAGGCTTGGGAGCTACAGGTCGCTCGGTGGTAGATGTCCTTCTGTTTTGTAAATATTAACAGCTCCCCCCACCACCTAACCTCGATTATGTCCATCGGAATGCTCACGCAGTCTATTGTAAATTAATGAAAAAGACGAGCATAAATTATAATCAGATCCATGCGGGTGTGTGGTCCTTCCTATAGCAAACCCGCCAAGCAGAAATATGGCCTCTAAAGCGCTTTTAAAAAGGATACTCATCGCTCAGAACAGGAGACCGTTTGGTTTGCACATTCATATGATTGACTCACGGGTGTTTTATACAGTTTTCACAACAACACCCAAATGATGCATTTACATTTCTGAAGCAGGCCTACGTCTTAATTTGCTTTAAGAAAATACAGACGGTACGATGTCTTCTGGGATTATTGAATATTTCGAACACTTTCTTGATATAAATATATGAAGGAAACAGAATAACATACTTTTGAAACAGTTGATACAAATTGCACAACCCGTGACGAGGTCAGTCAGTGGATTCCTTTTATGCTTATATTTAAAAACTTGTCTATGGATTTTAAATTAGAATTTGAGAGAATTAAAGCGAGAGAATTAAAATATTAAATAAAATACTAAACTTTGCATATGAGAAAAAATTAAGATATTCCACCGCTAAATGTACGTTTAATTTTTATAAGGGTTAGACAAAAGAATTCAATTTATATGTCCGTAATTAGCAAAACATAAAAAAAAAATGTTCATTTTTATTTTTTGTACAGGCCTGCTTATGCTGAAATATACAAATATAAACGACATCAGGATATAACAGTATTTTTGCCAATGCATGCATAGACCTACCATGCGATAAGAATGCAATTAGCATGCACTCAAATGAAATAAATCAAAAAATTAATTTCATACAGTTTAATGTGATATTACTGCCACGTACGAAAACCGTCACGTTGCAAAGCGAAAATACAACCATAGCCGCACAGATTAGCGGCTCCATAAGCGCCCTGCGCGGGCCCAAGAAAACTTAGCGCGTACCTTTGCACACCATTACTTGACCACACCATCGCATTTCAATTCCGGTTTCCCGAACCTTTTCACCCCATTGCATCGTCTTCAAATGGAAATGTGTATTGGTCCAAGGTGTCCATGTAAAATAGGTGTAAAATGAAACCACATCATGCCTTACTGGCCACCCCTCCCTCCATCCCAAGGCGATCGTCATGTGACAGCGCACAAGTGGCGCAGTAGTGAAGCGCCGCTGCAGGGGTCTTTTCTGCTCATGTCACCGCAGAAAACTATCAGTTGGTAAGAAGAAGGACTTAGAAACAGCTTCTTAGCTCATCTCTCCCAAAAAAAGTAGAGGAAGGTCGGTCTCAATTCTACTTCTGGGAGCCAAACAATCTTACTGTCTCTTGCTGAAGCTAAGATCCCATCCAGTATAAGACAACCAAATAGTTTTCTTGGGAAGTTTTATTTATTTATTTTTCTTAAAGGAAAATCCCTAAAGCATCTGGAATCGCTTCGCTGTCAAGGTTTCTTAGATTATACTGCACAGATAATCTGCTACATACATAGAGAAACGTAAGGCTTTGGTTTAGAACGTAGTTTTGTTATGCATTTGTACCGGGTGTTTTACTTTGATATTGTTTTTGCAGGTTTAACAGATGCCTCGACCGGGAAGAAACACGTATAGCGACCAGAAACCTCCTTACTCGTACATCTCCCTCACTGCTATGGCTATCCAGAGCTGTCCGGAGAAGATGCTTCCTCTGAGTGAAATTTACAAGTTCATTATGGACAGATTTCCTTATTACAGAGAAAACACCCAGCGATGGCAGAACTCCTTGCGGCACAACTTGTCTTTCAATGACTGTTTCATTAAAATCCCTCGTCGCCCGGACCAGCCTGGGAAGGGGAGTTTCTGGGCCCTGCATCCCAGCTGTGGGGATATGTTTGAGAACGGTAGTTTCCTGAGGCGCCGCAAAAGATTCAAGGTGATGATCTCCGGCCAGCTCGCAGCGGGCAAGCCCTTGGATGCTGCCCACTACCTCCAACAACAAGCTAAACTTCGGCTCAGCGCCTTGGCCAATACAGGCACTCATCTGCCACAGATGTCCAATTACAGCCTGGGGATGTCACAGCCTTCCACCTTCAAGCATCCTTTTGCCATCGAGAATATAATTTCCAGAGAATTTAAGATGCCAGGGGGGCTGCCTTTCCCCCCAATGCAACCGGTGTCAGCCGGCTACTCTCTGCATAATCAATTAGCCACCGCTTGGCCCCATATGTACAGTACAAACGCGATAGATACAGTAGCTCATATTTCAACGACGAGCAATGATTACAGTGCCTTCGGGGTTCCTGTCAAGTCCCTTTGCCACGATGGACAAACTTTACCGGCTATCCCAGTGCCAATAAAAGCGACGCCCGCGCCACTGTCAAATCTTTCGGCAATACCAGCACATATCCCGGCTTTCGCGCCGAACTGTTCCCAGTCCCTCAGTCTCACGTCCCATCAGACAGCGAATAACCGGCATATAAACAGTCCTCTTCGGGAAAGGACGCTGACAAACTCCGCCGTGAATGAGTCGGTGGCAGTGCACTGATACTGCCAAACCTTCAGGTCTTGTAGCCTGACAAAGTCTGCGCCGATTGCCAAGATTTGCTGTCCCTGAAATCCGTGAAAACCGGAACACGACGAGATATAACACTGTTAAGGCAGAGTGTGTGTATTTCGCAGTAATGCTTATACTCATTTGTCCGAATTTTAAAGTTCGATATCTGCCTCTGGACGTTGTATTCAGTTGACGGGATTTAATCTTGATTTTTCAGGACGCTGAGTAGCGATGTGTTATTAAACAGCTGTGACGTTAGCCAGTTTATCATTAATATGATGAGAGCAAGGTATTCCTACTGTTGGCATTGTTTGCTGATACAAAAGCAAAGAAAATAAGAAGCAAAGACATACACATTGTATATTACAATGATAAATAAAAGGCGTATCTAATCGTTGTAAGAGAAAGCCGTTACATTTATTACATAACAAGTTTAATATAAATGCATGATTACTAATTAGATAAAATTTGTTCAGTGGTAAAATTAACAAAATATTTAAAAATGTTCTTATTGGGTCTGACAGAATCTTTGCTTTTGGCTGTTAAATACTACATTACATTGCAGAAGTAGATGTACAAACAGTTTTTATGTGCTCAGAATACTCGATGCACTGCATTACCAAATATGTAGTTATTAGATTTTTTAACTATAACTGAATAAAAAGAACAATCACAGAAATATAAATATATATATTTTTCTAAACTACCGAACTTGAAATGTACTCATTTAATGATACGAAAGTGCTAGGTACCTGTAAACTTAAGATTTAAATTATTACTGCGAGATATCCTAAAGACGTAAAATGCACTTTTAGTAAACAATATATCACAGTATCTCTGCTGCAGAAAATGTTATTTTGTGAACCTTAGTTTCAGTTTTTGTGGAGACCCTTTGCAATAAAGGATATACATTTGTACGTAATTGAGTAGGCCTGTGTTTTCTCAGTTTCTGCATCTTTTAAGATATTATTCATAATTTTTATCATGATGCTGAAGGCTGACTGATATATTCTTTGCAAAACGTGTCAAAAAAATTAAAAGACGTAATCTTTTCCCCATGCACCTAGATAAAGGTATTTTTGTCCACATGTTTTATTATGCATGACAACAACAAAATAGCTTTACCATTTTGTAATCTCTTAAGAGGAACAGGTGGAAATGAACTGTTTCTTTAGCTGAGCATGGCGCAAACACTCTCATCATCACTGTGTCCGAGAGGACGCTAATTCCGTAATGGTGCACTCACTTTTCTATAATAATTTTGTGCTAATTTATTAACTATTCGCATATACGTTAATTCTTTAAATTTTCGAAAAATTAAACAGGTGGTCAAGTGTAGCTTTTCGGTTACTTTTAACTTTTGAAGGCTTTGAAAACTGACCGGTGATGCTCAGAAGCATATGGACCACGGGGTTAACAGAATGCAAACTGTTTCTGGGCTGCCACAACACAGATATTCATGCGAAAACAATCTTGCTTAGGCCAATAGAAATTATCTCGGCGGAAGTAAATTTTAAAAATGAAAGGAAATGGATTTTATTAAAACCAGTAGCAAATGTCACACGCCTGACTCTGAACAGCTTAATATACCTACTAATTTTACTACCATATAAATATCAGGCTACTTGTTTAAATAATCCGCAAACAACGCGACAAATCAACGTTTTAGACGTGCTAACTGACTAATAAACTAAGCTAACAATTGATTGTTCACGAGTTTTATAACCTGATTTATTAAACATATTTTGTAATATTCCGTTACATTAAACAAGACATGGTGTGGTCGCATATAAATAAAGTAGGCCTTAACACTAGAACTGCAAACACCGCTTCTACACTGCGTGCAAAATTAAAAGCATGTATGTTATTAAATCTTACCTATGCCTACAATAGATGTATTTTGATGTTTCTATTGCAACACGTAAAACATCAACTGCTGGGTCGAAAAAATATAGCAAATCTATAAACCCAATTCGTACGAGCAACAACTAATAGCTATTTAGATACTTATAACTTACTTTATTGTTTATTTTTTCAGTTTTTATGTTCTCTGGGAAATAAGTGACACGAAGGACAAGTTATGAAATAAACCTCTCTGGCAAACTTGGCGTGATGCAAAAGCAAGAGCCCGTGGTGAAGTTTTAAACAAATATATTAGAATTCCATCACTTTATGCGATTGAGTAGATCAAATAAAGGGGTCCACGGCCACTTCATTCAGTCTCATTCACTTCAATAGAAAACACAAAGAATGGCAAACTTCGATTGGGCCACCAATGTAGATTTAGCCTTTTCTCAAAGAGACAAAAAGACAAACACATTGCTGACTGGGTGACTAGGAAACGAGTTCCGAGACTCCTTTGGGATTCAAATTCACCCCTTCCAGATAGAGTCTGTTTACACAATAGTGCAAGTAAAAAAAAATCAATAAAAGTGTCTATTGCATTCTCTGTAACGCGAAATCTTTGCCTCACCGCCTACCTATGAGCTATGTCCGTTATAAATGCAAACTAATAAAATAAAACGCCCCTTTCCCTCCGTGCTTATTGTACGTTTTGTTGCGTATTTCTTAGCAAGCTTCCTTTGTTTTCAAAGTTTTGTCTAGGGAACGGAAGCAAAGGCTCTTACTACTTCAAACATTGCCATCCACAGAGATCCGATCCTGGCAATCTTCACCGACTCCGTCCTCGTTGTGGTTTAGAAAACTTTAAGATTCATAAAGATAGCTTTTCATCCCGGCAGTGCCCTGTTGCTCGTGAAGAACGAAACCCTTTATTTGCTTAGAATTTTACTTTAAATTTTAAGGTTGCCAGGAGCAATAATGTTTGTTAAAACATGTTATAATAAATCATGAAAAATAAAAACAACGCAGTATCTTCGCACTGTTAAAATAATACAACTAATGGCTCGCATGTTTTGGGTTAGATAAAACTTTAGTAACCCTATTAGATAATTGGAAGGTAATGCTTGTTCATTATTGTTCCAAGAACTAAAGTTTTATTGTCCCCGTAATTAATCCTATTGCCCGTTCATGAATCCTGCTAATTAAATGCACTGTCGACAAAAGAATTACTTGCAACAAACGACATACAATTACTTTCCATTTGTAAGATATTTACATTTTCGTGTTCGTTTTCATTTTTCAAATATGACGCAGTTCGTTTAATGAAAAGTCTTCAATCTAAAGTAATTCATATTATGTAATGAAAACAAAGTTATTCCAAACTTCACCGTGTTGTGTCGTTGTCGGTCAGTCGCTTTCCGTTCCGGAACAGAAACACATTTGAACGATGCCTTTTCCCCGCTGTGTGCCAGCAGTTTCACGCTCTGTTTTGGAAACGCTTTTCTGTGTGCACGAACATAACCAAGTCCGCGAATACAGTATGGGGATTTGGCAGTATGTGTATCGTAGGTTTTGGGCTGGCCCTAGGCGAGACATTGGCTTAGTCTGTCGGGAATTTATTTTTGTGATTATTCGGCATACGCGGATCAGGGAATACGTTTCTTGTAAGCCTACATCACGAACATGCAGTATTTTAAGCCATGTGCATATCCCTCAGTATCAGGTAGGAATTCATCATTTCCAATTCGATTTAAATTACACGACGACAAACTATTTTATATTATTGTGTCTTAGACACTGGTATACCTGACCTAATCATTTAGAGTGTAAGGAACGTTATTTTCCATTACAACTGTGCAAATGGCAAATTACTCTGTCAATTACTCTGCTGGAATTTTTTTAGTGCATCCTTATGAGTTTCCTTACTCAAAAAGTTTGGTTGCAGTCCTTGTTTATTGGGTAAACATGCACGAGAATGGCCTCACATCTGCCAACTATAAGCAATGCATAATTACTTGGAGGCATTTTCGACAAAGGACTTGCAATCTGAGTCAGATGCATGGATTTTGTGGTGAGTGTGGACTGGACTGTTTCCACCACATACAGAAACAATCTGTCTACAGCTAAGTTTTGTGTCCTTCAATGTGTATATTTTGGTCAAAATCGGTGTTTTCAGTCCTACACAGATTACATACTTAGACATAATATCTTTACCACTAGGGAAATTGAAGGCATACAATCTTGAGTGGCAATATTGATATTTTTTACCATATTTATTGTAATATATATATATATATATATATATATATATATATATGTGCCATTTGAACCATCAAACGACCCAGTTAACTTCTAAAGCTCATCCAAATGTGGTGTATCAGATTTATTCAGGTGTGTGACGGTGTCAATGGGATTATGGGTAATGTGAATGCTTAATGTTGGGCAGAGGAACGCGTTTTGGTTTCTTCAGCACATCGTGGTCTTGGCTAAGGCTGCTTTCCTGTTCCTGTGGAGGGAGGCAGGTAGCGAGGGTTCAGGGCGCTGGGAGAGAGGGGCCTGCGGCAGCCAAACACCCATGCGTGCATGAAATTAGACTGTCAACCTTTGATTCATGCTGCCAGGCTGCAACTGTGAAACAAATTATGCCAGTGGGTGGCGACTGTGATATGAGCCTGGGCTAAATAGGCACCTCTGCTCGGCTTCCTATTTCTCTTATGCGAACGTCATAGTGATAGATAAGTGGAAGAAGTTGTCCGACGTCGCTTTCAGCAGGGCAAGGTACGCGGGGCGGGAATCCACCATGCCACCGGAGTACAGATATAGAGAAAAGAGAGGTAGCTGTTTAATGACAAGACTGTACGTAAATATAAACGTAGAAGAAGTTCTATTGTGGTGTTTCAGCATAAACTGTTGGTCGCGAATAAAACAATGCGTTTAAGCAATAAAAAGATTAAAAGGAACATGGATTTAGTTTGATTTTCTAAATCAACCTGCATTTGCAAACATTAATCAGAACTGATAACAGGCGATGCAAGATAATCTATTTAAAGATAAATATAGGAATGGACAAAATGTGCAACAGAAAGGCTGTCTTACTAGCTAAAAGTACATAATGAAATAATGATTAAAGAAGATTGAGGTCCATTTTAATGTTCCAAAGCTTGGTTTGAAATGCTCTCATTTTAACACTATCATTGAATGCATTGTTGTCAGTAGCTGTACTGAATTTAGTTAATCAGAAATGAAGTCTCATGGGTAAACACCATGTAGTTTGCAGAGCTTTCTTGGATAACAGCGGCTCTGTTTGCCCAACCGTAGTGGATTAGTTCACGCTTTCACAAAGTCAAAGACAATTGTGAGCAATCAATGCATATAGGGCTTTTCAAACCGTTTCCAAGTTACATGTGAGGTCTACATAAAAATGCCTGCTTCTGGCTGCATCCATTGGCCCATTGTGGAAACACTAAGGAAGAGTAATTCAGTATGAGTTTTTAAAGGACAGCGACACTGATAAGCTGCCTCATACATCTAACGCTGGTACATAAACTTAAACTTCGGTAGACAGTGAGAGCCAAGGTGCGCGTTCCGTAGTTCGTAAAAAATGAGAGAACGCATTCAGACGGGGAGCGGTCACGTGATAACCTCCGTTTCACCCGCCCTCCCTCAGCGTGGCGGCTCTGTGCAGAGAGGGAATGAATGGGCAGCGCAGCGGTAAGAGCCGAGGCGGCCGAACCCACAGCAATAGCCTGGCTGGTGTTCTGGCTCCACCCCTGAGGGTCTTTAGCCGGATCCGAAGAGCAGCTATTCTGCTCCATGATGGTGGCCCATGATTATGGTCCCGTGAGAGCTCCAGACGTGTTAAAGTATCTGCTCGGGGGCGCGCTCATAACTCAGGATAGCCCCACGCCTCGCCCTACTAGGCATCAGCAGTGGGGTTACGGACTTTTA